GAGGTGAAAGAAAAAAACAATCCCATTAAAAAGTGGGCAAAGGATATGAACAAACACTTCTCAAAAGACGACAAACAGCCAACAGACAGATGGAAAAAAGCTCAGTCTCACTAATCATCAGATAAATGTAAATCAAAACTACAATGAGATACCACCTAATTCTGAAAAGGATGACTATCATTAATAAGTCAAAAAATAATAGATGCTGGTGCAGGTAGGGAGAAAAGGGGATGATTCTATACTGTTGGTAGGGATATAAGCTTGTTCAACCTCTATGGAAAGCAGTGTGGCGATTCCTAAAAGAACTAAAAATTAATTGACATTGGATATGATCCAGCATTCCCTCTCCTGGGAATATACCTGGAGGAACATAAATCATTCTACAAAAAAGACACCTGCACACGTATGTTTATTGCCATGCTATTCACAACAGCAAAAACATGGAACCAACCCTACTGCTCATCCAAAGTAGACTGGATAAAGAAAATGTGGTGAATATATATATATATATGATGGAGTATTATGCAGCCACAAAGAAGAATAAAATCATGGACTTCACAGCAAGTTGGATGGAGCTGGAGACCATCATACTAAGTGAACTGTCACAGAAACAAAGAACTACTACATGCTCTCACTCATAGTGGGCCTTGAGCATTAGTCACATTAGCACAAGGGAGGGACTGGCAGGCACTGGCCACTGCTAGGGGAAGGAGAGAGGGAGGGAGGAAGGAGGGTGGGGGACATGTGACAACACAAAAGGTACTTGGGTCATTCCTAGGGATATGAAGTTCAGTTAGAAGCCCAAACCTCACCTGCATGTAGCCTACTTATGCAATTAGCCCTCACTTGTACCCCACATTCCTATAAAAAAAAAACCACTTAGAAAATTAAATCTTGATATTACCTAGAAGCAACTTTGGTGGAAATCATAATGCTAAGATCTATTTAAGAGATGCTATACTAATCTTATACATAGGTCAACTCCATAATTCTCCCAATAAATCACTGTTATAAAAATAACATTTTCTGTCACTAGGACTTTTTATATCATAAAATATATATATATTTTTTGAGTTGGGGTCTTACTCATCACCCAGGATGGAGTGCAGTGGCATGATCAAAGCTCACTGCAGTCTTGATCTTCTGCCTCAGCCTTCCAAGTAGCTGGGACTACAGGCGTGTACCACTACACCTGGCTAATTTTTAAATTTTTAGTAGAGACAAGGTGTTGTTGCTATGTTGCTCAAGTTGGTCTTGAACTGGCTTCAAGCAATCCTCTGGCCTTGGCCTCCCAAAGTGCTGGGATTTACAGGTGTGAGCCACTATACCCAGCCCATAAAATAGAAAAAATTTTATACCATAAAATAGAAGTTTATAAAATAACTTTAAAATGTTAATCTGATACTTAAGTTGTTCTCTCCTGAGCAGCATTCAAATGTCTTGACTTTTATGTTTTCACATATTCTAATTGGAACATTTAGAGAATACCTTATAAGATATCTTATAAGATATCTACATTCCACTTATAACTTTAAAAATTCTTAGTAAGTATGACTAAACGAAGCAACACAAAAAAGGTAAAAATATCAAGGTGTAAAGTATCAATAATAAATGGGGGAAAATAATCATTCTTTTCAGATAATATATTTTCATAAGACATTCCTTTTTACTTTTTGTTGTTGTTTTTCAGTTGGAGTCTCACTCTGTTGCCAGGCTGGAGTGCAGTGGCATGTTCATAGCCACTGCAGCCTCGAACTGCTGGGTTTAGGTGATCCTTCTGTCTCAACCTTCCAAGTAGCTGGAACTACAGGTGTGAGCCACCATGTCTGGTTAATTTTCTTGATTTATTGTAGAGATGAGGTCTCACCAAGTTGCCCAGACTGGTCTCGAATCCCTGGGTTCAGATAATCCTCTTGCCTCCCAATGTGCTGGGATTACAGGTGTGAGCACGCAGCCAAGACATATTCCTTTTTAGACAAGTTTGTGGGCGAACCTTTAGCTACCCTACCCATACTGAAAATTAATTGATATATAATGTACTTAACGTACTTACATACTTAAAATTAATTGATATATAATTATTATATTCATTTGGAAAGTGAAGAAGCAGTCAAATTAGGTTTTACAAGTGATGATATTTACAATGAGCTATATGAAAATATCAGATCCAGTATGTCAAAAATTTCAACTAAAACGTTTATACAGTCAAAGGAATGTCAGTGTGGTACAGAAACAAAAGCATTGGCTTTGGAAACAGACAGACTTAGATTCTGAATGCCACTTCTGGTACTTAGTAACTTAAGAGCTTATCCAAATTACATTTTTTAAAAATATAAAAGTACTACATACACATTGTACTAAAAAAGGTTTTCTGAAAGAACTAGAAATTGATCTTCCATTATGACCCAGCAATTCCCCTATTGGGAATATACCTGGAGGAACTCAAATCATTCTACCAAAAAGATACCTGCATACTCATGTTTATTGCAGCACTATTCACAATAGCAAAAACATGGAACCAACCATGCTGTCCATCAAAACTGGACTGGATAAAAAAAAATGTGGTACATATACACAATGGAATATTATACAACCATAAAGAGGGACAAACATATGGACTTCACAGCAACTTTGATGGGTTTAGAGTCTATTATACTCAATGATCTATCACAGAAACAAAGAACAGAGTACCATATGTTCTCACTCATAAACGTACCCTGAACAATTATCTTAATACTATAAAAAAGGGATTGACAGTAGTGTGGGAAACTGACAGGGGGTGGGGGTGGGATTGGCAGTAGTGGGAAACTGCCTGGGGGGGCCATACCTCATCAACAAGGGTACCTGCATAATGAACATTTGTATTCCTAACTCTGAATTGTATCCCACATTTTTAAGATATAAAAATTTTTAAAAAAATAAATAAATAAAAAAGGTTTTCAATATAAAACAGAGCCACCTGTTCCACTCCAGGTCTAACTGTTTTAGATGTTTATTTCCACACTGTTTGATAATTTGCTTATGCTACTAGTTAGTGATTTATCAGTTCTAGGCATTTTTAGATCTACTGACTTACTATTATGACAGATCAAAATTCAGTTCTTTTACATTACCCTACACTACTTGTTCTGTCTTCCCATTCTAAGTATATCACAACATTTATTTAAATATATTACAGCATATGACTATGAAAATATTGTCACTGCACAGACAAGTATGTACTCTGATCATGTTTCCTTTCTTGCAAAGCTTTTTATTTTTATGTAAGTTAGTGATTATCTTTTTTTTTTTTTTTGAGTTAGGGTCTTTCTCTTTTGCCCAGGCTGGAGTCATGATTATGATGATCTCATGGCAGCCTCAGTCTCTTGGGCTCAGGTGATCCTTCCACTTTAGCTTTATAAACAGCTTGGACTACAGCTGTGTGCCACCACACCTGGTTATTTTTTTTTATTATTATTATTTTTTTTTGTAGAGACAAGATTTTGCTATGTTACCCAGGCTGGGCTCAAGCAATCTGTCCTCCTCGGCCTCCCAAAGTGCTAGGATTGCAAGCATGAGCCACTGGACCTGGCCAGTTAGTAATTATCTTTTAAAAGTTTCTTAGTCTTCTATGTACCTATCCTGAATGTTTTTTCCAAATGTCACTTGTCTATTAGATAACCTATTTTAGTGCAAGATTCTCCTCTGTTTCTCTAGTCACTTTCTAGACGTGCTGAGCAGCTGGCATTCTGGGATTCCCATTCATTGCGTAACTATACTAGATCTTCAACCTTTCATTTTGGTTTCATGGTCTTTTTTTGACTACTGCTTTGTTTTGCTGAAGAATTCCATAGCTTCTTAAGAAAGGGTATATAAGAAATGTGTTTTCATGTCTGGAAATATCTTTATTTTACCTTTGCATCAGGTTCGTAGTTTGGCTATATAGAGATATCTAGGAGAAAACTCATTCTGCCTCAGAATTTTGAGGAAGTCAAAGTCTTCTACGTTCTAGGCACAGTTGAGTAGTGCAATACCATTCTGATTCTTGATCTTTTATATGTACTGTATTTTCCCCCTTTTCTGAACATCTTAGGACTATCTCTTTATTACTAGTATTCTGAATTTCAAGATAATCTGTGTCTCTTTACTCATTATGCTCAACATTTGGTGGCTCTTTTAGTTTACAGATGCATATCCTTTAGTTCTAAGAAGCTTTCTTATTCCTTTCCATTAGCTCTAATTTCTTTTTCTGGAACTCCTACAAGATAGGTGCTAGATCTGTGCACTCAATCTCTCAATCTCTGTTCCTTCTTCCTTTGCTCTGCTAGGGCTCACTCTATTTACCCATCTACTTATCTATCTACCTTCCTTCCTACCTACCTACCTACCTACCTATCGAGACAGGGTCTGTCTGTCTGTCTATCTACCTACCTACCTATCTATTGAGCCAGGGTCTTATTCTGTTATCCAGGTTGAAGTGCAGTGGCACAATCATAGCTCACTGTGGCCTTGAACTACTGGGTTCTAAGTAATCTTCCTGCCTCAGCCTCCCGAGTAGCTGGAATAAGAGACATGTACTACCATGCCTGGCTAATTTAAAAAATGTTTATTCTGTAAAGATAAGGTCTCATTATGTTGACTAGGCCAGTCTCAAACTCCTGGCTTTAAGCAATTTTACCACCTCAGTGTTCGTACCTGGGATTACAGCTATAAGGCACTGTACCTGGCTGCTTTATCTGCTAATTTTAAAATTTTGATGTAACAATTTTACATGTTCTTCAATTATTCTTTTTTCAGAGAATCTTATTCCCACTTTTTGGTTGCAATACTGTTTTATTTCACTATAGATACTAATTACAGCTTTATTTCCTGTATTATCTTTGTTTACAGGTCCTTTTGAATTTTGGGCTCTTTCATTTTACAAATTTTCTTTAATATTGGATGATCTCTCATAGAACTTAAAAGAACTTAGTAAAAATACCAACTCTGTGACAAATACTTAGTAAAGCAAAGTATCTTACCAGTAGGTTGGGTAAAAACTGGAGGAATAGTTCCGGGTGGTACAGCAGGAGAATAATTTGGAAATATTGGTGGTGGCAAAGGGAAATTCACTCCTAAGGAGCCCTGTGAAAGTATTTAAAAGTTATAAGACAATGCAACAAAAACTTTCTATAGAGACTCATTAAAATTTAATAGAGAAGTCATGACAGTTCTTACCAACTGTTGTAAAGCAAAAAGTGCAGCTTTCTCCTTGGCTTCATTTTCAGAGTGGCACTGTGGTCCATGTACCAGTAAGCCATTAGATAATTTTACTTGGCAAACAGTCATTGTCTAAAAAAGAGAAAATATATGTCTATAAAATCATCTGTCTAGGAAGTTGATCTCCTCCCCAAAGCTTAGTCTAAATAAGAATAATTTTATCTGACATTATGAAAAAAGAGAATTCAAGAATTCAAAAAAGGGCTTTCAGTTTAAGTTTTGGGTGCCACACAAAAAATTAGAATTGTTGCCTTTTCTTTCAATGTTTACAAAATAAAATGCTCTCTAAGATGGTTGAAGGGTCAACATCCTATTGCAAATGAGACAGCAAAACTTTTTTCTTTATACATAGGGCTGACAAACAATAAAGTTTTTTGTAAAAAAAGTTTTACTGGAACATAGCCACAATTCATTCTTACGGCTACTTTCAGACTGCAACTGTAGATCTGAGAAGCTGTGATAGACGTCATATGGCCCAAAGATCTAAGTATTTACTGACCTTTTACAAAGAAAATTTGCTGACCCAAGCTTTAATTAGCATATATCTTGCAAATATAATTGTCAAAATCTAAAAGACTCAGAGGTTCTGACTTATTTTATATTCCTTCTTTAATTTTAACTCTTTATATTATACTTTAAATTGTTTTATAAAAAAGATTTTTAAAGAAATTCAATTTTTACAAAGGTAGCCACTTTTACATATTACTAATTTAATCTTGTTTTCAATTTTTATTCCAAAATCTTTTTGTTGTAGTAAAATATACATAAAATGTACCATCTTAACCATTTTTAAGTGTACAGTTCAACAGTATTAAAGACATTCATGATGTTACGCATCTATCACCACCATCCGTTTTCATAACTCTTTTCTTTTTATTATTTATAGTTTTAGAAATGCAGTCTCACATTGCTCAGGCTAGACTTGAACTCCTGAGCTCAAGTGATCCTGTCAACAGAAGACCTGGGACGACAGGCGTATATCACTGTGCCTGGCTCATAACTTTTTTATTTTTTTTTTGAGTCTGAGTCTCACTCTGTCGCCTAGGCTGGAATGCAGTGACATGATCATGGCTCACTCCAGCCTCAACCTCCTGGGCTCCGGTGATCCTCCTGCCAAAGCCTCCTGAGAAGCTGGGACTATAGGTGTGTACCACCACACCCAGCTAATTTCTTGATTTTCTGTAGAGATGAAGTCTCACTATGTTGCCTAGGCTGGTCTCGAACTCCTGGGCTCATGAAATCCTCCTGCCTCAGCCTCCTAACGTGCTGTGATTATAGGCATTAGCCACAGCATCTGGTTTTTTCCATCTTATAAAACTGAAACTCTATACTCATTAAATAACTACACACTTCTCCTTTCTTCCAATCCTTAGCAACATCTATGTTGCTGAAAATGGCAGGATTTCATTCTTTTTATGGTTGTATAATATTCCATTGTGCATATATGTCATATTTTCTTTATCTAATCATCTATACTAAGGTTGATTCTACATCCTGGATATTGTGAATAGTAATGCAATAAACATGGGAGTACAGGTTTCTTTTTGGTATACTGATTTCCTTGCTTTTGGATATATACCCAGCAATGGGATTGCTAGATCATAAGGTAGACCTATTTTTAGTGTTTTGAGGAACCTCCATACTGTTTTCTATAACAGGTGTACTAATATACATTCCCACCAACAGTGTATTCCCCTTTCTCCACATCCTTGCCAGTTGTTACTGCCTGTCTTTTTCATAAAAGCCATTTTAATGAGATATGTCATTGTAGTTTTGATTTGCATTTCTCTGATGATTAGTGCATTTTAAGCATTTTTTAATATACCTGTTGGCCTTTTTTTTTTTTTTTTGAGAAATGTTTGTTCAGAGCTCTTGCCCATTTTACAACCAGGTTTTTTTTTTTTTCCCTATTGAGTTGCTTGAGCTCCTTATAGATGCTGGTTACCAAGCTTTTGTTGGAGTAGTTTGCCAATATTTTCTCCCATTCTGTGGATTGTCTTTTCACTTTGTTGACTGTTTGCTTTGCAGAAGCTCTTTTGGCTTTATCTATCCCATTTTATGCTTTGGTTGCCTATACTTTTTATGCTTTGGTTGCCTGTACTTTTGAGGTCTTACTCAAGAAATCTTTGCCCAAATGTATTGGAGTGCTTCTCCAGTGTTTTCTTCTAGCAGTTTCATTGTTTCAGGTCTCAGACTATCCTTTTCCTAATGTATGTTCTTGGTTCCTTTATTGAAAGTGAGTTGAATATAAATGCATTGATTTGTTTCAGGGCTCTATATTTTGTTTCATTAATCTATTTGTCTGTTTTTACATCTGTAAACAAAAATAACTTGCCTTCTTCCTTTCCAATTTCGATGCTCTTTATTTTTTTCTCTTGTCTAATTGCTTTGGCTTGGAATTCCAGTATATGTTGAATAAAAATGGACAATGTGGGTATTGTTGTCTTGTTCCAGATATTAGAAGACAGGCTTTCAGTTTTTCCCCATTCAGTATAATACTTGTTGTGGGTTTGTTGGACATGGCGTTTATCATGTTGAGGTTCCATACCCAGTTTGAGAGTTTTTATCATAAAGGGATGTTGAATTTTACTGAATGCTTTTTGGCACCTCCTAAAATGATCATATGGCTTTTTTCCTTCAGTCTATTGATATGATGCATCATGTTTATTGACTTGCATATGTTGAAACATCCTGGGAGGAATCCCAATTGATCATGATGAATGATCTTTCTAATTTGATGTTGAATTTGATTTGCTAATATTTTGTTGAGGATCTTTGCTTATTTGTTCAGCAGAGAAATCAACCTGTAGAGTTCATTTTTTGTTGTATCTTTCTCTGGTTTTGGTATTAGGGTAGCACTAGTCTTATAGAATGAGTTTGCAAGTGTTCTTTCCTCTTCAACCTTTTGAAATAGTTTGAGTAGAACTGATATTAATTTTTCTTTAAATGTTTGGTAGAAGACAGCATCAGGTCCCAGGCTTTTCTTTAATGGGAAGCTTTATTATTGCTTCTATCTTGATACTGCTACTGGTCTATTCAACTGCTGTATTTCATCATAGTTCAATCTTGGCAGGTTTTATCCATTTCTCCTGTTTTCCATATTATTGGCATATAGTTACTCATAATAGTCTCTAATGATACTTTGAGTTTCTGTGGCAAATGTTGTAATGACTCCTTTTTCATCTCTGATTTCATTTATTTGGGACTTCTCTCTACTTTTTTTTTTTTTGAGTTGGAGTCTCACTCTGTTGCCCAGACTGGAGTGCAGTGGCCACTCCTGGCCACTGCAGCCTCGACCTGCTGGGTTCCGGCGATCCTTCAGCCTCAGTCTTCCAAGTAGCCGGAATTACAGGCATGCACTACCACGCCTGGCTGATTTTTAAAAAATTTATTGTAAGCCGGGCTCGGTGGCTCAGCCTGTAATCCCGCGCCTTTGGGAAGTTGAGGTGAGTGGATTGCCTGAGCAACTTGGCGAGACCTCATCTCTACAATAAATCAAA